ACCGACCCACCTACCTACCGACCTACCTACCGACCTACCGACCTACCGACCTGCCGACTTTACCGACCTACCGACCTACCGACCTACTACGGACCTGCTGACCTACCGACCTACCGACCTACCGACCTACCGACCTACCGACCTACCTACCGACCACCGACCGACCTACCTACCTACCAACCTACCTACCTACCTACCTACCTACCTACCTACCTACCTACCTACCTACTTACCTACTGCCTATATACCTAGCTGCCTAAGTGTCTACCTGTCGATCTATCCCTCCATGCATCCATGTATCCATACATTTATCCATCCATCCATCTATCTATTTATCCAACTAACTTTGTATATATATATATATGTTTATCTATCTATCCGTCCATCTATATGTTCATCTATCTATCTATCTATCTATCTATCTACCTACTTATCTATCTATCTATCTATCTATCTATCTATCTACCTGTCTACCGATCTACCTATCTACCTCTCTATCGATCTATCCTTGCTTAGCTTAGCTTGGCTTAGCTTAGCTGATGTTTTCTTATCTTATCTCATCTCAGTGCATATTGATTTGTTGTGTTTCATCTCTACGGGTACCTATATGTAGCGCGCAGAGAGAGAACACTAAGTCCGAAGCTCTCAACCCTAAAACCCTAGACTGCAAGCCCGAAGCCCTAAACTCTTACCCTCAAGCCCGAAAAACCCCAAAACCTTCAATCTTCACGCCTGAAGGACATATTCTTAGTTATACCACTAAATAGATATCACCGTGCTTATAGCAGTGATACAGAAAAACATTTTGGGTTCAAAGGATGCGATGACCTCCGGGCGCCTCCGCTTTGAGCTACGCAGCGCCGCGGCACAGCGCCACCTCGGCGGCAATGTCGTGATGAGATCTAAAGATTTCATAGAGGAGGCATGCGGTTTCAGGTGTGTTTGTTTCTGAGGCTTCGTATCTAGAATGTATATAGATTCTTGACGTTTGATATTTGCTTCATTTTGCCGGACTGGGGTTTGTGGGTAATGTAGGAACTTGATTAGGAAACCCTGGCCCTATAACCCCAAAATATTAGACCCTACACCCTAAACCCAAGATATTAGGATCCACATACACACACACATATATATATATATACGTTTATTTATATATATATATATATGTAAATATGAATATA